ATTCTGTCATTTCATGGTCGCTAAGCCCATGTATTTACTGATTGCACATAGTTTGACAGTTTATGTTTTTCCATCTTTTTTTGAGGTAGAAAAAGCCTGGAAGCCATTCTCTCAAGTCTGCTGAAAGGTGCTGTTTAGGGCACTGGTCACGTCAACAGCACAAGCGACTATCCGGTTCACTGGTACAAAACCGGTTCAGTGTGTGGCCATGCTCTCTCTCCTTCTGCCCTTTGTGTTCATGTCTTTAACCTTAAAAGCTCATAGTCTCATTGCATGTGTCCTCAAAGAGTTTACTACATCAAGATTTCATTTACTGGTGCTATTTGAATAGAAGTTTTATGGAGTGATTACTACAGTCACCGAAATGACAGAATTTATGAGAAATAATGCATATGGACACAGATTTGCAACTTTCGTTCATTTCACTGCTACTACAGCATTTTGAGTTTGGGTCTATTGTAATTTCATGTCATCCCTCCCGCGTCCTTTCTTCAGATCCCCACTTGCAGAGCACCTTCTGTCCCTGCACTCGCTCCCAACTGCCTTGACAGCCTGCAGAGAGTCGCTGGAGGCGGGGGGGTGCTCGTGTCTTGGCTTTGCATTACCAAATGTGGTTTCATGAACTTCAGAAGGAGGGCTGAGTTAACATTTGTAACACAAGCTTACATTTAAAAAAACTTCCCTTTGTTTAATAGAAATCACCTTTTTGTAGATTGAACTACAGAGCTGCAACATTGCTATATAATTCAGTGTACTCACACTCAGAGCCCCAAAAAGAACTGATGTCATCTGGTAACTGTAAAAGCAAAGCTCGAGTGATATTTCAGCCTTATCAGAAACGTGACATGGGTACAGCTTCATTCAGGATTTTGTTAACTGTGTGTGTTACTTTTAAAACCAGTCTGCTTTCATATGAACCTTACATAAATGCTACGGTAGTACAAGAAATGCGGAGGTAATCAGCAGTCGCTCGGTGGTCTGGTTGAATTGTTTCTGTTGTGTTTGTTTTTCTTTTAACTACAATTGTATGGGAGGATTTTTCCAAGAGGGGTGAGGAACACAGTGTCCAGCAACACCCACTTAAGCAGTTTCATTCTGTTGATTTTCAATATTTGGATCTTATCAGATAAGATTTTAGGAAAGTTTGTTACAACTGCTGGAGATGTATGGGTGAGATTGCGCTTCGGTGACAAAGTAGCCAGGAGTTTTGTGTTTTGTCATCTAACAGGAACTTTGGTAATAGTTTCTTAGCATCGAGAGAAACAGTAAAATAACAAGATTAATTGCAATAACACAACTGGGTTTTGTGCTGAGGAGTTCCTTCTCTCACGTGCAGCCAGGTGAGATGTGTTGCTCTTTGGGGATGTGCCAACTCAGTACTGGACAAAGAGGTTAGCTGTGTACCACAGTCATCTGTCTGCTGGCACAGATGGGGCTTGATGTACGCCAGCAGCCAACTAAAAAGTCTGCAAGATACCAAATGCAATTACGAGACATACAAAGTCATAGTTAAAATTAAGCCTACTGTAGATCCCACAGTAATGATTTTCCGCTTTTTTACTTTTTCTATATATGTTTGTTGGTTGCCATTTTTACGCTATCCACCTTTTGATTGAATCAGAGGCCATTTACAATTTTCTGAGCTGCCGACTCACAAACTAGCTGGTGGCTTTTTTAGCAGTCAACTTCAGTGCTTCTGGACAACAGCTTAATTACCTCATTCTTCTCCATTCTTAAGTAGATTTGCTGATTTATCCATCATGCATTTTAAAGTCCATTCCTTTTCAATAAGGCATTGTTATTGTTGTTGTTGATTAATTTAAATACACATAAATATAAATTAAGTGCGATCTGATTCTCTAATTCTGGTTAGTTGCATGACATGTATTTATATACACAGAGAGATTTCAGTATTCGGTGATCAAGCCCTAGATCTCTCAGACACAGGCTGTGTATGCCTAGTGCTTGATTTCTTCCTCGCTGGGGTGCCCAATAACGTGCTTAGGTGTCCTACAAAACTAATAACAAGGGAAAAACGCTGCCCTGCAGATCTTACAGTCTATTTTGGATGCAGCAGGAGGTCCAGCAGCTCATAAACTAGACCAGGACATAAAGAGCAATACAGGATAAGAATTGGACCAGGGATTAGGTAAATGATACTGCAGTTTTTCAGGTGTTTTTTTGCTGTGCTTTAATTTTATGCCTTTTAATCCTATGTAAGTCTGCTCATAGGTGGACCTGCCACTTCCTAAAAAGTATCCAAAGCATCCCAAGCATCCCCCAAAACTGGGGGGGTGCCATGAAGGGAAGATAGGGTCAGGAAAGGAGAGGATAGAGGCTGTTACCAGGAAGAGGAGAGAAACAGTGGCAAAATGAAATGTGTAGGGGGAGAGAATCAAAGAGAAATACATACCTCGGTTTCAAACGTGGGAGGCATTCTGTTTCTCAGCTTGTTTTTGCTATCTATCTAAGATCATAATTGAGCTAGCTACAAAAAGGATCTTGAAAACAATTTGAGTGAGAGAGAGAAAGCATTACGGTGGAGCGAGCCCAAAATCCCGTCCTCCAGCCCACACACAATTGGACATTGCAGTGATATGGGGGAAATCCCTTAACGGACAAAACTATAAATGTAACTACTGTTGACAAGGGGAAGAGGCACAGCTATATTTAACGGAAGTATTTTCATTTGAGAGCTGCTTTCTTTTTCTTCTTTTTTTTTTTCCTTCTTTCTTGTCTAGTCGGTGGAGACTGCGAGGGCTCTTCCTGTTTGAGACAGTGCATGGGTGGTTTCCCCAAGGCTTTTAATGTTAGATTAATGCTCTGGAGACAGTGTGGTGATAAATGGGTTCCTACAGTTATATCTACATCCTGTTCCCCCTTCCCCCTCCCGCATCTGCCCCTGCGTACCGTCGCTCTGCAGCGCTCGCCTTCATACCCAGCAACAGTTTTCAGCAGCTTCAGCTAGCGTTTAAGGCACAGCTCTTTCTTTAAAATGTGCCCAGCAAAATTCTTTCATTTTCAGTGCTGTCACCTTCATTACCTCTTATTTCTAGGACAACGACAAAAATGAAACGGGGAAGAGAAAGACGTCTGGTTAAAGGACGGGCTGCCACACTGGCTTGTCATCTGCTGTTTGGCAGATCCCAATTAATTACTTTTGCTATTACTGTTCACTTTCAGAAAATAGGTTTATGGGAGCAGCCTTTCTGTTGTTTCACGTTCTAATGGCAATGCTCTGCACGTCATATTGTACTCAGCAATAAATGAGCAGAAGATTTGAAATCTCCTCCCTGGTAAAAGGGAATGGCTCCCCTGTGTCAGCTGCATCTATAGCTTGATTTTATACAACTTGTGCGCTGATAGGGATTTAAGTATTTATCTTCAGAAAACACCCACACTAAAATGCAGCAAGGGAAATGAAGATTGTAGGCACGTTTTTTAGCTGGACTTGCCGTTCTGGCAATTCCTATTTTTTTATGTGTTCGGTTTTGTTTTCAGTTAGTACAGTTCTCTGGTTATTTTTCTCTGCGCGCATTTCCATCTCTATACGGCTTCCCCTATACATGCAGGGGAGGGGGAAGGGCGGCGGCGGCAGCAGCGTGGTCAGGATGGCTCTGGTTAACCTCCTGGGCTCCATGCGGCCAGCCCGCGTCCTTCTGCCTATGCGGCAGCATCTCTCAGATCTCGGAGCAGAATTATTTTTAAACCGTGAAGGTGTATCTGGCTGGTGCATTTAGATTTCGTGTCATGGCTTCCTTTTCCTGCTCTCAGGTTTCTCCCACTCGGCCTTCACCTTCGGTATCGAGAGCCACATCAGCCAGTCCAACATCAACGGAACACTAGTGCCACCTGCCGCACTCATCTCCATCCTCCAGAAGGGGCTCCAGTATGTGGAGGCTGAGATCAGCATCAACGAAGTAAGTACCCCCGCCACCGCCGGCACTGCTCCCAACCGCTGACCGGCACGCTGGGGCTTGCGAAAGGACGTGTCCCGACAGCCCAGAGACGCAAGCCACCGTGCCGCAGTTTCCGTTGATCTGGTTTCATTTTGCTCCTCATACTTTGTTCCACCCCCAGCAGAGAGCTGAAAAGCTCAGAGATAGAAATGTGTTTCAATTTTTAGCTGTAGCATTGAGGCCTTCTTTGCGCTGCTTAAATGGATTTTATGGTGTTTCCACTACTCCAGTCAAATCCAGGGTGCATTCTCGCAGCAAACAAGAAAATGCATCTGTGTTTACAGTCTTGCATTTTCAGGGTCATAGCAAAATTTGGCAGGAAAAGCCTGCAACATAGGTTAAAACTTCACTCCCTGACACCTGCTAGCAGGCAGCACTGCTTGCAAGCTGTGAGAAGCCTGATCAGAAATCCACGGAGGTCACTGGAGAGATTCTCTCTGATTTCAGTGACTTTGGCTTAGATCATGTAAGACCAGGCATCATCCTCTCATGTACATGGCGAAACGGTTGTGTGTAAATTCTGACCCTGGCTGGGGCACTGGTGGTCTGAGGGGATTGTATGAGCAGGCACAGAGTGTCTCTGCTCTCCTTGAACTGCCAGGGGAAACAAAGAGGGGATGTGGGAAAAGCCAGCATTTTTGCCCTGCCAACCTTAAAGGCATGATGCTTCGAGAGGGAGTGAAGCATGACAGATAAGCAAGTACTGCATTACAAAATATTTACCATAGATATCGTAACTGACAGAGATCTGTAATAAATATTAATACATAAAAAGCTATTGCTTTTTTCTCTATAGCTGAATGTAGCATGGGAACAGCATGGGTGAGAACAAAGGAATATAAAATAGAGAAAAGGTTGTGTTGTTTGCAGTGTGTAGTTTGGAACAAAAACTCATTTGTTTTTGTCACTAACATTCTGTGTGGTTTTCTTTTTATGACTCGATACAGTGTTTAAGAGTTGTGTATGTGTCATTTTTTTAACTGGGGCAATGACATTTGACATTCATGCCAAGCTGCACTTTGATGCAGTTGTAATAACAAACCAGTGTTAGGAATCTGTCCCAATTTGCTGCTACTTAACATTTTGCCCTGTGCCTGAAATTGGAGCTACACAGTTAGAAATTTTCAGCCATGAATAGCACCTATTGGTTCAGGTCCTATGACAGCTGTAAGGGTCTGCTCCTGTGCATCCAGCTTCAGAATTGGCCTCAGTTGAGAGAATAATCTAAAAACATGCATGTTGTCACCATTAAGATTTATGTTGCTCTCATTGTGGTTTGATTCTGTTAAGTACATTACAGCAAAGCAAAGGCCGTTCTTGCTACGTCTGAACGCCAATAAGGGCTACATGTGTGCTTCTCTATGTGTTACTTCCTTATGCGTATTACTTAAGAGCAGTGAGTAATCAGTGAGTCTGTAAACTAATGTGTATAAAATTTAAGTATTGTTTGTGGTCTGTGAAAGGGCAGTCATGAAAATAGTCCAGTGAGCAGTTTTATAGTTAAAAATGTAAGATTCCAAAATCCATTGGCAAACATTTTTTTCATTGTGTAGCAAGGATTTGAGCCAGGATTCAAATAAATTTCGATAGAGACATTTACATAAAAAATGTTGAGGAGAAAGAGAGTTTATTTTTCTTCTCTAATGACTCTTTCCTCCTTTTTCTTCCCCATGAGGAAACAAATATGTATTATTCTAATATTGTAATTGTAAGGGGTAATTCAATGACTAGTCCAACAGAAGCACGCTAGTCAGCCAAACGGCTATTTTTCTTTATTAGTTATTGTTATCTATTGAAAATTACATTGTTTCCCAACTACTTCATCTATCCATATCCTAATCTTATCTGCTACTCGTCAAACACAAAACTTTCACTGCTGGGTCTTGATTATTTCAAAGAATTAAAGGGAGTTTGCAGAAGCTCAGTAAAATGGCACTCAGTAAAGGCTACTAAAACCTTTTTCGTATATTTAAGATAATAGGAAAGTGAAAGTGAAGCAAAGCTGAGTAGATGCAGCAGTTGTTGACCTGAGTCTATATTAAGTCTTAAAACACAGCCCTTAAAGGTTAACTCAATTGGTTATTAAACCTGAAGCCTAATTTACAGAAATCAAAATGAAAGCCATAACTATTATGAATAAAACTAGCGGAATAAAGGAAGAATAATGGTAAAGCACTCCTGTACAATCAGCTACAACTGGTGGTGCTGGGCTGATGAACACCATGTAAGAAGCCACTGAAGTTGTGCATATATCCTGTTTTGGCTGAGGTTCATTATTCATCAGCTGCTTCCATTCCTATGCCCCTGCAAGTGCAGGGAAACAAACAATTCAACCAAAGTCTGTCTGCCTTCGTCATGGTTTTATCCATGACTCTTTTTTTCCAAATACAAAACAAAGAGAAACTTTCTGCCATCAGTCAGACTTTTTTTTGCCACAGCGTAATTTTTTTTTCATCTGCATAGAGTGTATATGCCTGAATTTTCTATAAAATTCCAATAAATGACTTATTCACCAAACAGATTTCAAAGTGGAACATGAGTACCACCATCATGGACCTGAGAGAGAGACGGTCCATAGTAACGTGGCGCTGGTGGTTAAGTCAAAGAGCAGTATCTTCACACGACCTAGTTTTGTTTCTTTATATCATTACCTCTTTGCTGACCTCGATGGTGAAGATCCTAAACTTGCAGTTTCACTTCTGCTCGTTTTCCCTGCAGGATGGTACAGTATTTGACGGCAGGCCAATAGAATCACTGTCTCTGATAGACGCGGTGATGCCTGATGTTGTTCAGACCCGGCAGCAAGCATTCAGAGAGAAACTAGCTCAGCAACAAGCCAGTGCAGCGGCGGCAGCGGCAGCAACGGCAGCAACAGCGGGAGCAACGACGACTGCTGTTTCCCAGCAGAACACACCAAAGAACGGAGAAGCCACTGTGAATGGAGAGGAGAATGGGGCACATGCAATAAGTAAGCCAACCCATGCAGCTGCTTACTGGGCTTTGCTACTGGGCAATTTGAATTTCAATAATATTCTTGTACTTACTTACTGTCTGCAAGGCAGTAGAACTCAGGGGGATCATTTTAGGAGGGCAGGGTATTTCTAGAAAGGCTGCTGAGTAAAAATCATGTTTCACGTCACAGTGCTGTGTTTTACTGGTATCCTCTCAGAATCTAAAAACTTCAGATATCTTCAGAATTGGAAGTTGAAGACAGTATCAAGAAGTGGAGCTGTATGCTCTCTCCTTGGAGTAGGCTACCCAGACTTCATTAATATTATCAGCTTTATAGGTGCTTTTAGATATTTGAGAGAAGTTGGGACAAGGTGTAGCCACAGTTGGTCATTTTGGCCAGGCTAGGAGGGAGGTGGGTTGAGAGGTTGGGACCTACAAGCCATATCTGTGTAAATGAAGCATGGCCAGAGCGTAGCCTTGAGCACTAACTATCCTATGATCATCCATAGCCTTTTTGATAGTCCTTGGCACAGTTTAGCCTATACCAGCTATCCATTCTTGTACAGCACGGCCAAGCACGGGATCATCCATAGCCTTATTGGCATGGTCCTTGGCCCAGTTTGGACTATACCAGCTATCCATTCTTGAACAGCATTGCCAAGCACAGGATAGGGAGTCGCATGTGCCAAGGACCGTTCCCAGCAGACAGCTTGGATGCAGCCAACCTGTCTTGAAGGCACAGAGGAAAGAGTTCCTTGCTTTTTTATTTAATAGCACATGCTTAGTCATACAGTCCACTGCCGATAATCTAATTGAAGGTCCTACCTTCCCGAGATTTCCTTAGTCTGTGGGAACAATCAGTTCTCAAGAGCTCTGAATTTACCTTTGTTTATTGGTGACGGCGGGAGACTGCACTCGTATCTTAGACATCTAAAGTCAGACATAAAAAACAAGGAGTGGACATACCTGCTTGTGTAACTAGATCTTGATGACTGTGCTAACGTTGTGGGGCAGATATGATTAATAGTTTTGGTTTCTGCGTGCGAGCCATATTAGGGCACTGGCTAACTTCTGAAATGAGATCTTAATGCCTGATTGCCTTCCGAGGAAATTCTAGAGGAACGTGCATGGCAGGTTTTGTAGGAAGCCCCAACAGCTCTTTGGCTTAGACAAGTAACAGGTCAGGACTGTAGTCATGTAACAGATTTTATTTGTTCTGCAGTGTAGATACCTTTATCAGTCTCCATCTTCTCTTTGATCTGAATAGATTCCTCTGTGGGTCAGTGAGAAAAATGCTTTCAAACCAGGTTTTTCTTCAGAGAATTCCAGTTAGATGGGATGGTTTCCCCCAATAAAATTGCAATGATTTAAATTACATTTTTCATTTGATAAAGCAATTGTAAAAAAGTTCTGAAAAATTTGACAATATTAATCTGTTTTTAGACTATGGATTGCTTATGTTTTACTTCCAACTGACCCTTTGTTTTGAAATTGAAATTATTTCATATGTGAAGGGGGGCAAACAGAAATGAAAGCACTTTTAAATGTATCAATCGCTGACATTTTGTTCATTGACACTTTCCTTCAGCTGATTTGTGAAAATTTTGGGGGAATGTCTTCCTGTCTCAGGACCAAAAAAACCAAATTCTTAAGGTAGAAAACTGGTCATCGGTTCATCACTGATACAGAACCACTCAGACTTAGTTCCTTCTGATCTGAAGAAACACATATACTATTGTATTAATAAAAGGAAAGCCTTGCAGATCAGTTCAGATGTATGACCACGCTCTAAGCCTTGATTTCTCAGATCTGCCATTTTGTTATTAAAAAATAATAATTCTCACAGCGATTTTTAATAGAAGGATTTTCACGAACAATTGCAGACCTTTCTTGGAGTGTTGAGGAGAAGTCCTGTATGACTTAATATCATCTAATAGCGCTGTCTGGAGCAGGATGCAAGAACATGACACTGTGTTGTCCAGTAAAATTTCACGGAAGTAGGATACACGTCAACCAATGAGATACTCCACCAGACAGCAAATTTCAAAGCATTACTGTGGCTAAGCAGCCTACCAGGCAGACAAGTTAACTGAGCGGTGGCAATGGGAAGACAGAAAGTCCTCAAGGAGTAGGTGGCCAGCTGGCGTGTGTTGTTAGCAGCTGCTGTTGTGCTGTTGGTCGTCCTGGGTGAAGAGGTGACCCCGGCAATTTAAGGAGAAGGAGGCTTTGGAGAGAAGCTGCTGAGAAATCCAGGGACAGCCGACTCTGATCAGTGTGCCTCCCTCGCCTTGGGAGGACTATAACCTTTCTGTCTGAGGTATTCGGAGGCTATCAGCGAGGTGGTGTAGCACAATTGCAGATGAGGATTATACATGGGAGATGCACACAGAACTGCAAAACTGGCATTCTCGCCCATGAACAGACCTGTTTAAATAAACTCCAAGAGGTCTGCCTCCATAATTATCAGAAACCACTAGAAATAAAAACTAACAAATCTAGCTCACAATTTACTGCATGGGTCTGATTAACACTCTTACAATTGTATTTCCCTCTGTTGTGGTAAAGTTAGAATACAGGTACGTTAATGAGAATAACAAAAGGGTCATACCCTTTGTTTTCATTGCTTATGCAGGGCAAACTATATCCAGCCCTACCTTTTCCCTTACCACCACGTTCAGAGAGTCTGTTTAGTCTAGGATAGATTAGGACGAAAAATCTGGCAAGAGCTTAGCTTAGGACAAGAGGTTCAGGTAGGACTGGACAAAAGTTTAGGATAGGATGTAAAATGGCTTAGATAAGGACAAAAGGTTTAGGATGGATAGGACAAAAGTTTAGGATAGGATGTAAGATGCGTAAGGTCAAAGCTGGGAGGCCTACTGGGTAGAAAAGACTGCTGATACAAAAGGTGTGAGAAACTTCCTAAATCTTCTTTTTCAATGTTGTTGGATTCCACAGAACTGGCATACACTGGGATGGGTTTGGATAGTGTGCTAGCCCTTAGTCATAACCTGGAAGTCACCCATATATCAACCTGTCATAAAAAGGTGGGATGGGGGAAGCTGGTGAAAGAGATGTCTTTGGGAAGTTACCTAGTTCGCATTTATTCTGACATGGAGTTCTCCCTGACACTATAAGTCTTCCCAAAAAAGCGTTAATATATTTAATATAATATGCTATATTTTCGTATGTGGTGTTATCAGTACAGTATGATAGGGTGATTTGATTTAAGAAAGGGAAGAGACAGAACAAAATCGAACAACAGCAACAGTTTGAGGTGCAGATTCAAATACTAAATAGATAAAATCGCTGCCTTCTCTTGCTGCTTCCTGAGTAATGTTTTCAGCTTTGAGTCACTTTAAAAATTAGTAGATAAAAAAAAAATGGGCATGTAGAAATGGAGCCAAACTTTGGGTTGTTTCCCAATTTCTTTATTGTAACTACAGCCGTAAAGAACAACTTCAGTGAAAGGCCTGTCAAAGATTTAAGTAAAAAACCACATTTCCTGAGAAAAGACAGGATTAGCACTGGTAAGATCTTAAAAATACATCTTTTTTAATTTGGAGGAAATAGAGAGTTAATATTACTCACTGGTATGTTAGAATTTTTTTTTTTTAAAAAAACTTAATCATAATAGTTTGGGGGAGTATGAATTTTAATTTCCAGTGATTTGGGATTTTTGATATGTTTGAGGAAAAAAGTTAGAATAATATAGCTTAGACTTAACCGAAGATCCTCTGGCCTTAGAGAATGGTTTGTGTTAACATTTGGGCAGAGTCCTCCACTGTGTGACCTGCAGACTTAAGTTTATCACCTGTGAGGGTCTGTTGCACTTGGTAGAACTGCCCTCCCTTTCAGAGACCCCCTCAGAGGCATTCTTTGGGCAAATGAGGTCTTAACTGAGAGCTTTCTGCTCTGAAGATACTTTAAAAAAAAAGAAGCCTGTTCTTGATTGTTACTGCATCTTACTTACCTATTTATTCTCGTTCCCCATGCACACATTGTAGCTGCATCCATAAGAAAGCCCAATTTTCAGATGAGACCAGGGCTCACAAGAGCTCATGCTGTGTAAGGAGCTCAGCACTCTTACGAGGGTGCCGTCTTGTGCTCAGGGGTTTCTGCAGTTTTTTGTTGCTATCATAATCGTATCCATTTTACATTGCTAGTGTCTATCTGAATCTGAGAAGAGCCTGAAGCAGTATCGCGGAAGCATGAACTGTCCTGTTTGTTCAATGGGGCATTTTAAGTTTTGTGCTTAACAGTAACACTCTAAATATGAATGTTCCTGACTACTGATGAAAATAGAAAGAAAACACATATAATGTGAACATTTGCAAGAATTTTCATTTCTGAAAGAATCCTCATCTTTCCCTCCCTTTTCTCCTGAACCACCAAAGCTGTAATGTCAAAATCATTACTGGTAAAACAATAGAAAATAATTCTGCAGGTATTTCATTGCTCCCAGAGGCCAGTCAGTCTTGCATGTACTGATGCAGGTATCAGCCGATCAAGGTTTCTTTTTCACAGCATGACTGTTTGTGGGTTTTTTCACAGCAGTTAATAACATTCAAAGTGTATATCTAGGTTCCTCCGTCTGTCCATGTACAAACGAAAAATATTTCTAAGTATCAGATGGCCTTGCTCTGATAGCACTTCGTAACTCTGGGACCTTAGAGTAATGCTGCTTCCAAGCTGTCATTTGGCTTTATTCAAGAGTGAAAAGCAGCTCTGCCTTTAGAGCCAGGCAGATAACAGTAGGATCGTATGTGGTAGGAGTGGCTTCTCATTTAAATTTTTCAAATTAAAGCACTTGAAATATCTTACTTCTTGATTTACCCCCAGCTTCCAACTCACACTGTGAACAGGACACAGATGAATGCGTAGCCATTACCATGCTGCTGTTTTTCTCATGAAAATATGCTTTAAACCTGGTGATTCTGTGCTGTGCTGAGAAATAGAAGGTTGCGAATTCTTATATTCTGGTGGGTTTTAATAGTGCTTTGCTCTTCATTGCCCTGATTGCTCAGAATATCATATCAAAGTTGCCAGCTGCTAGTGTCAGGCTAAATCTCGAGTTCTAGTATATCTTGACAGTATTAATTTTAGTAGTTACACACATAGAGAATTATCAAGAACAATGCTTAACATAGGGGCTCAGCATAGGTGTAGATTTTACAAATAGGCATTTGTAATATGTTTAGTTTTACGCAACAAATCCATAGGTAATAAGTGTAGTTAAAAATACAGGTATTTTGAATTAGAAATGGGAGCTGTGAAACTACTGTTAGTTGTTTTCTAATTTTGATACTGAGTGCTATGCAACTCATGGAATTACACGTGAATTACATTCCATTCCATTCCATTCCATCTATGGCGTAGCTATGGCACAGGCATAGTTTATAGGCTACCTAACAAAACAGGCAATGAGAAGTGCTAGTTGTGTGACTCAGCATAAATTAGGCAGAGCAAAACAGGGTATTTGAAAGCCTGGGTGAAGGTAGAAATCTGGAGATCTTCCTTCCAATGGCAGTTGTGCAATGTCACAGTCTGTTTTGCCAGTTGATGGGCAATAGCTCAGCAGAGCTTGAGTATCGGGACAGATGGCTGATTTTAAATGCCATAAATATGTGGCAATAAAGGAGCATAATTATTCCACTTGCGAATCTATGGATCTCCCTATCTGATTAAAGAATGACTAACTAAAAGACTTAACCCAGAATGAGAACTTGGATTTTGATCAACCAGAGCAGATCAGCTGGCCAAGACATTGATTAGATAACACGAGACTGCCTTTCCCCCAGCCTGCCAGCTATCCGCTCTTGGATGTGCTTTCTGCGAAATGGGCCACATGTCTGTGTGTGACATCTGCTGTCTGCTATTTCAGTGTGTTACCTGTCCTTGGTTGGTGTCTTGTTCACAGAGGATAATAATCTTGTGTTGCTGCCAGGAAGTGTAGTTTGAGCTGAATGAGGAAGATTTATACTGAAGCAATGCAAATCTCGAGTGAAAACATTGTTCATGATGCAAATTGGAATGAATTGCTGCCACTAAGAGAAATTCATCATTTAAAATTCACTTTTTTTCCTTAAGGAAAGAGCTTTATAAAAACAAAGTTACTTAGACTGCAGTCTAAAGAACCCCAGAATTACAGCATGCAGGTTAAGTATATCTATACCTCAGTTGGTACCTTTGCATATATTATGATATACTTGAGAAGGCGATCACTCACCGTTTCACTGCCATGCTCAGGGAATGAGGCCCTTACTCGGTATATTCTTCATCTGTGAGTAGCACACATATTACTTACAGGACACTGTGTAAGAAAATGTATGTGCTGTATGTTACTTTTTTAAAATAACAGCATAAAGCTTTTCTCAAATGTGGCAATCTGCTATTTTAATAGATCTGTAAGTCATTTTTAATGAAGCCAGCTTCAAAAAAAACTATATTGAAATAAATGCTAGCTACTTTATGAAGAAAAGCTACGTGCATTTATACAAAATATTTTAGTAAGGCTCTACATTTTCAGGAAATATCATAAATTTGAATCATCATAGGGAAGAAAATAGAGTAATATGGTCAGTGACACAACACAGAATATTATTTATAGTGTATACGTTGCTGTAAGCTTTAGGCTGACCTAACAGCATCTTGCAAACTACTTATTCTGATACATTTCCTTACAGATAATCATTCAAAGCCAATGGAAATTGACGGGGATGTTGAAATTCCTCCTAACAAAGCAACAGTCCTTCGGGGCCATGAATCAGAGGTGTTCATCTGTGCCTGGAACCCTGTCAGTGACCTGTTAGCATCTGGGTAAGACCACGACTGATACCAGCTGCTGCAATTAGAGTGTATTTGGAGATGCAAGAACTTGCGAGTGTACACTACAGATGAATGAGAATTCTTTTCACTGATTTTTCAGCCTGCAACTGTTTTTTTCAGCAGCACTGCACCTATGTAGGAGTTAAGTAATTATAAGGTGACGCAGAATATGAAGCATTTGCACGTTTAAGATGTGCACTCTGTGGCCCTGAATACACCTAAATTTTTTTAAAGGTTTTTAAAATAACTATGGATAATTCTCAGACTATTTGAAGTTCATGTAATCTACTTCTGCTCTTAGTTAATGGTTCACATTGGGGTCTCAGAAAGTCTTTGGCATCCGTGTTTTCTTTTTAAAAGTATGGAGACTCTAAAAGAGTTCTCTGTGGTGATGTTTGCATTGGCGTGGTGCAGCACAATTAGGAACAGATCTGTAAAGCAGATACGAGGACCTTGTGTCACCACTGTTTGTACTGTGGGGCGGGAGCTTCAGGCTGGACCTAGTTTTGTCCGATGAGCTGATCTTGACGGCATGTTTTGGTTTATTGTCATTGGAAAGGAGTGTAGTCCAGGACTGCTCAGCGATGACAACCAAAGCATGGTAAGTGGGACAATCAGGAGATTGACTTCTTACAAAAAGTGCTTTTGATCCAAACAAAAATGCTAATGTAAACATACCCCAAGAGCTATATTCAGACACTGTTGGAATCTGTGTTTGTTCATGCTTAAAGTTAAACCTTAAAATGAAGGCTGAATTTAAGTAGTCTAACTGGGAATGTGGAGGAAAGCTGATAGAAGTTAGAGGAGAGAAGTGGGTCTTCATCACTTAAGGTTACCTGACAGTATCAACACGTTTATTACACGGAAGAGGAAAGTCCTTATTTTATTTCCAGCTTTTTGCATGATCATCAGAATAGTCGTCTTATGAGATCTTTGTTGACTTAATACATGAAAACAAGGAAAAGTGCAAATGGGACAGAATAAATAGGAAAAATAAAAGTCATTAACAGAAATAAATATCAGGTTGGATAAACCGCACAGGATCTGTCAGAGAGTGAAGACGGCAGTTTCCAAAGAATAACATCAGACAACAAACTTCTAGAAAACTGAATCCTTCTGAATACACTTTGTTTCTGGAATGCCCAGACCTGGTAGTACTTTTAGCATCTGTAGCACTAGGTATCTTCATTTATTAATTTTAAATGGGTATAGCAGTAGAATTTGTAAAAGCTGCATGTAGGATTTTGGATGAAAAACTTTGGTTTTCAGCTCTTTTTTCCGTAGGTTCAGTGGGTCTTCTGGTTTGTGATAGGGTCACTGAGTGATGCCATGGTAGAGACGAGCAGTAATAGCAGCCACAGTCCTATGCCATGCGTTTGCTGTGTTTTCTGCTAACTGTATTCCTCTACCCACTCAGTTTTCTAGTGTCTCAGGCAATATTGCTTGGCAGTATTACTTATCCCTAGCAAATAATTATTATTAAGAAGGGAAGACCTGAACATTAAGATCAGTCACCAGTTAAAATAGGCAAGCATAAAACAGTTACTTCACACAAATTGTCCTCTTCCTGGCATACAGTTGAGTGAACCATAAAAAGAGATTTATTTAATGTATAAATAAATAAAAATCAGGATTGACAAATGTGGAAGAACTGTAGCATATGATATTCCTTAATTGTCCCAGCCCAAACCTGAGAGGATGTTTCAAGGAAAAAAAAAAGAATCAAGGGAAGGCAAGGAATCTGTGATGTTCATGAAATGTTATTGCCTACAGAGAAATTTGTAAATCAGCATCAAATGATACTGAATGAACATGCTCCTGTACTACTACTCCTTTAACTTTTCCATGTATGCCTAAATGCTTTGACTACCCGTAAATGTTAAATTGTGACTAATGGTGAAGAAAACCTCAAAAACTAAGAAGAATGTAGTTAACCTCATTAAATTGTTTTCATGGTTGTTTCTTATTAAAGATGAAAATCTAGAGAAGGTTTCATAAAATCTGGAAGAGCTTTCCTATAGTGGGGGCAAATTTAATTAGAATTCCATGGGCTGTCTTGAGATCAACAGCTCGCAAGTACTTTATTTAGAATCATTCAAATGAAGAGATTGTATTTGTTGATACAATAGATGTCCTTTAGCCCTGTCATCCTAAACAATATACTTTTTAATAGTAAACTTCTCCATTATGTTATTTGCTTGAATTATATGGAGAACAGTCTTCAGGTGATCAGTTAGCACACCCACATTATTATCTAAAGGAAAATTGGTGGGGAGAAAGGATACCATACAGAATTATTCTTTAGGGACACCTGGTGGCACCTGAGATGAAGCGAAGAAATCTGCTTTATTCTGGAGAATATCTGCACAGCTGAAATTAGGCATCTACTCAAGTGTTCTGTCCCTCTGCAGGTACCTACATCTCTCAACTCATTACATAGGGAGTTAAGACTCCTAAGTATAGGTGCTCAGACCTCAGCTGTTGGCTTTTGCATTGGTAACTTCTTGCTGGTATCTGACTCGCCTCTCTGCCAGTGCTTGCCATACTGTACTGCTTCCCTAGGATCTGTGGTTCTGGTGTGCACAGTTTAAATTGTGGACCATTTAATAAACCAGAGTATGTACTGCAGTGATGGAGGAGCCAGCGGGTGTTTCACTTTGCTGCAGGGTGCTAAGGACTGGTAGATGGATCCCTGGGACAGCGATACCGTACACAGCTTCAGGTAAACCTGGAGGATGATAATCAGAAGCATTAGTGAGATGTCTAAAGTAGAGGAGTACCCTCTCACTATCCCTTCAATTAAGCTTTACCCTTCAGTGTAATAGGTCTTTATTAATAAGCTTTGCTACTGATTTTGGAAGCACATAAATACACACGTGGCTAGAAAGTACGGTCAGGTGCTGTGCATCAAGCAGACTAATGGCAATGCAACGAAAACGCAAATAATTTAGATTGATGTGCATCTTGATCAGCTTTTAGCCTGCTCATAAGAAACAAAGTATGTGATGCAGTTAGCCTTCAGGTAATGCAGCAGTGAGTGCCTGATGAAGCTTACATGACTGAAATGGCATAGAATGCACAGAAAAAAATTAAACTGAAGGAAGAGAGCTGATTGTCTGATTATGCCATTGCACAAAGAAGCGTTTGAGATGTCTGGTATAATAATAGTGCAAGCTATCATCTACAGGTAAACTATGTATTACAGCACCAATTAAACAAGGGGGAGAAATTCCCCGAAATCTACATATGCTGCAGTTATTTGTCCTTTACAAAGTAGTGCTTCAAAAAAAGAAAACTGCAGTTAGTCTGATGTGCAAACACCGAATTTTTAGATTCTATAATAGCCTTATTGTGCTGCCCAGTCCGTAGTTTTCTTCTGTTTTCCCATCTGCCTGATTGTACCCATCTGTTGTCTTCTTAAAAACCTAACTATTAAATAAGGGAAATAACACATTTGTTCTTTTTATACAGTGCCTAGCACAATCGAATCTCAATTCATGGCAAAGTATTTTCTTCGAGCCTTGTTATACAAGCAACAAATTTTTCTAACAATTAGCGGCAGTTTAGACAGCAACCTGATGTGATCTTCAAAGCACTAAAAGAATAATGCAGGTTCACGACCTAATCTGAGGCAAGCTGTGTAAGGGGATTTGTTTGCAGAATGAATTACCCGAAACTAGAGCATTGGTTTCCAGATTTAGTGAGTATCCCACTGATAGAAAGGGATTTTGATATTTGATGTCCCCTCTATATAATTGCAATGACTTTTTAGGGTGTGAAGGCTAGCGCAGGAATATGTACTCTCTGGACTTTGCAAAGGGCTATTTTTAAAAAAAACCAATGGAGACAGGAATTTCTCTGATCAAATAGCCAGGAAAAAATATATTCTGCAGCTGTTCTTCCTCCTCCACCACACCCATAACCCTTAAAGTGGAGGATTGAGGAGGCTAGAGATATCAGTAAAGGCTTTCAAAGGCACGACTGTCACCAGATGCTTATGAGAAGAATGCTTAGATGTTATGAACGGAAGCATTATAATAGTACAGTAAAGTGAATACATACAGCCATGTAAGAGGATTAATTACCCTTTATGAAGGAAATTGCATATATTGTTTTGGACAGGTAAAAAAAAAAAGTAGGTTCTTGGCCAAATGTGAAGATTTGGCCATTCCTGGCCATAATTCCAATTTTGCTCTTAAAATCCAATTGTCCTCCTCTTCAAAGACTGATTTCTTCCATGAGATATCTTTCAATATCTAAGTTTTAATTTTATGGCGCATGTAAATTATTACAGATGGTTATGTTCCCTGGGTAGTGCAGAAACCCATTACAGCTACAACCACATTAGTAAACTAACCATGCCTGGGAATATTCCTGGGCACTGAGGCCAACTGGCACAGAATGGCCAGTATCTGTGCTAGCAAACTGTCCTGGCTGCCAAACAAACTGCACATTGGGAATTGTCCCTGGACCGTTGTAACCATCAAGCCATGCCCAGGAGTTATACAGAGAGAATGTCAGGGCCCCAAGCAAGAGTGCTAATTAAAACAGGCCAGAGTCTGGCCAGGGAGTAACCTATCTAGTTTGCTAGCACAGGTGATCATGGACTAGTGACCCAAAATGTTCCTGAACATGCTTGAATTTCCCAGTATGGAAGTATACCTGCGAATGTCAAGGTTGCCGGACCCTTGAACTCCAAAAGCTTTGCTAGTTGAATTTCAGATGCTCTGTCTGCACGTTCAGCTGCAGCTTCCAAGAGTGTGCTCTGTTCTGTTACATCCAGCCATGTCCTTCAAGTAATTCTCACAGCCGTGAAGCAGAGGGACCTGGCCTCATTCCCAAAACCCAGCAGTAGGTTTCTTTGCTTATCTTTGCTGATCTACACTAGCCTCTTTCACACAGGGGAACTTTGTCTCTTGCAGAGTGCTTTGTGCACCTTTGGTCTCCCTAGTCAGCAAAATAATTAGCCATAAAAGCTGTTGTCTGAGATCTTTCAGTTATGTCTGTCTCTCTCAGAAGCAAGACAGGATGTTTCTAGGCCATCATCTGTCATCATCTCGGGGTTTTATATAATGCTTTGAGTTATTGTATTCCTCATATCAGAGGTTTAGGATCCATTGTGAATTACCTTTCTGAATAATCCTTTTGAATTACCAGGTTGAGGAGGTTGATTTCACCTTCCCAGACAGTGCCAGGTGTTAATTCTGCTAATTGTAAGTGCTTATTCATTAGCAAGTGACTTTATTGGGGCCAGTTTCCTCATTGCATCAAATCCATTAACACAAAGCGGTCAGCTGTTAGGTGAGGTCTATTTGAATAACCTGATGCAGGGAGCAGTGTTGTAGAATTGGTAGGACAGACCTCTCCTTCTGGATACTTCTGAGGCACTTCCCTCTACTGACTGCCTAGGAAATGTAGGTGCTTACTTTAAAAGACCTGCTCTATTAAGGAAAAGTTAGGTATGTAAATTATGAGGAGGAGTTTCCTTCCCTTTTGCTTTTAGTAATCTCTTTTAAAATAAAATAATAGAAAGTCTAACCTGTTTGAACCAGAATTGTTAAATACAGATTAGCAATATTGCATATCAAAGTAACAGTGATTATAAGACTTGCAGCTGAAGATTAGAAATACCAAGGTTCAACAACCATCTTGCAAATTTCTTTACCCAGCTGCAGCTGTTTTAACCTCTCTGCTGACAGTTACGGCATGGGGATTTTATATGTCACAAATAAAATTCTGCAAACATTTGTCCACCTTGATTCATGATTATACCGGGGCTGGAGAGCATGAAATAAAATTTTTTCAGAACTAAGCCTTCCTAAAATTTGGCAGTACTCTACCATAGTGCAGAACACTATACCTATTACTCAAGTGTTCATGACTTGCATGTTGGAATGAGCTGCTTTATCATGCAGATAGAAATGCTTCTGAGGGCTAAGGAGATTAAATATCTTTCTGAATTGTGCTTGAACTATGGTCCTCTAATAAGGCAAGGTTCACTGAATCATTCAACAGAAATCAGAATACTTTCCAGAGCAGAGAATACTCTTCTTTTTTTTCCCAGCAACAAAAGGGAAGACACACAAATACCCCTGCCACACACTGGTAGGCTTATAAAGCCTCTCTGCAGGGACACATAATAGCTTATGTAGCCTTGGGAAGAAGAAAATGGAAAAACAAAATTAAAATACTGGAAAATAAGATTGCCCAAGCATCGCCAGAAAACTGACTAAATAAAACTGTTGAAAAACAAAACATAACCCTTTTAGAACTAGCAAATAGGATATCGTGTTTCATAGCCAAGTGGCTGAGTACTTTATTCACAGGGTCCAATAACAAACTGAATTACTACAATGAGGGCAAGACTGGCCCGGAGTCCTATATAGTGGAGAAGCCAGCACTGAAGAAATTTCCTACTTAGCATGTTAACCAATAACCCAAGCCTATGAAAGACTTATGTTCCCATTATTGTAAATTATCACAACTAAAAATGTTCCTTAACTTCTGAACGTCATGGTTAACTTCATTAATTTTCTAGCCAACATGTGCAAAATTGTTGTTCGGTTTTCCAGACCTCTGAAGAAATAAGGAGTTATATTACAGTCACAGCTCTGTATGGTGGCAAAAATTATCCTTATTCGAATTATTTCTTAATCACTAAAGTGAAAGATTTGTGCCAAAAATTAAAGAATGGCTGTACAGCAGTAGCTTGTGCTTAGGCTGGCAAAGCCTTGACCAGCCATCACATCTCAGCTTGACACAAAGGGTTCAGAGGAGATGGGGGCACATTCCCCAGGCGTGCCATGACCCAGCAGAGCTCACAGCCGCTGATACAGGCAGAAAGGTTTTTGCTTTTACAGTTGAACTGTTGTTCATGTAAAATTTGGCTAAATTATTGGTAAAATAATACACAAAGATCAATCAAGTTTGATACTTGGTTGGTCAATATTTGCACTCAAAGATGTGTGAAGTGTTTAAAATTTGCCCAGTACTTTCAGTATAAATAATTAAAATGTTTTATAAGTAGACCAGAAGAAAATCTAATATTCCCTTGTGATGGATTTCCTTTTCAGTAAAACATGGCTTATCAAAGCAAAAATGGATCTTTGGTTTTTTAGTCTTCGAAAAAAGACTTTTCTCTTTGTTAGTGTGTAGGAAAAGAAGCTTTAGTCATTACTTTAAAAAAAGGAAAAGCATCAGGTATATTGACAATGAAATTTCATCTTGATTGTATGAATGCTTGGAAATACAAGAGAGATCCTAATTCTGCTCCAAGATTCTACTTACTGCATGTAAATGAAAATCACCCTCAGGACAAAACAAGCAATCCAGGGTACTTCGATTGTTTTGGTGGTGGTTGTTATTGATTGTTTAAAGAAAAAGGGGGGGAGGGCAAGCGAGAGACAAATCCCAATAAACTGGGAAGTGTAATATCTTCCACCCCGTTGCAAATTGATTTCTGCCCGCGGAGACATTTTTCATTTGAAGAAAGATTTATACAAAGTGAAAATAAATGTATTATTTACTAGCGGATTATGATAAACTCTTCACTTCCTCCTCACAACTTCTTCTAGACAAAATCAGGGTTCAGTCTGCAATAAAAACATCTCTCTAGAAAATATTCAGTCTATAAAATAGATAAAAATCCTGATACAGTCTCTGTCTTGCTGGCTGTCTCTCACCAAGAAAAAACACTCTATTATGTCAGTAGTTATTTTGCCACTTTTTCGGACTATGTGAGCTAAGCAGCCAAGCTACAGACAGCAAAGGACACTGTAGACAAGACAAAATGAATTTAAATTACCTTTCTGCTTTCCTAATCTTTAGGTTCTGTGGCTTGATTTAATGCCGAGAGGCTGTTTTGCAAACAGCTTCTGTCAGAGGCTGTGTTCTGGTCTGTCCTGAAGAGAAGGACCTTATGAAAAGGCCATGGACAAATTAAAGGCAGCCTTACGTTCACCTCCTGCTCCTGCAGCAGCTGTCAGAGGCACCCAGGCAGGACCAGGGAGCCGGCACCGCAGCACCTTTGTCACGCTGCTAGAGGTCCCCTTCCCCGAGGCTGCTGCCAAGGTGACACTCCGCACCTCTGCAGGCGGTGACCCTGCAGGTCCCGTCATGCCGTGTTCAGAGCATTCTGCAGCTCCGGGGGAACACCAGGCACTCGGCAAGCCATTGGGAGCTAATGGGACTGTGCACACTTTTTATGGGAGGCACGTGGACACAGCCTTTGTGTTGCTGTCCTTTACTTGGATCTCCACAGTGTTATGTTTGTAATGTTGAGTTCCCCCAGACTGTCTCAGTTATGGTGATATCAACTTTATGTATCAAGTGCAAAATGTGGAGAGCAAGCAAATGTCTTTTAGGTAAAACTTTCCTGAATAAAGCAAATGATGATATGGATTCAGATGCTATGTGTAATTTAAATATCTGTTAGCATTTTTTACAAAGAATAGGGAGTGCAGGAAGGGCAGAATTGGAAAGAAAAATTACATTTTAAAGGCTGTGATGTTCTCTCAATGAAAACAGAAATAGAGGTTTTTACTTTGTTTGCTGGGCCAACACCAAGAGGAGTTTTCATCTCTGCACAATTGCTTTTATAGATCCGGAGACTCAACGGCCAGAATATGGAATCTCAATGAAAACAGCAACAGTGGTTCCACTCAGCTAGTTTTGAGGCACTGCATAAGAGAAGGAGGACACGATGTCCCCAGCAATAAGGATGTGACTTCATTGGACTGGAATGTAAGCTAACTTCTAAGACTGTGTATGGTTTTTAACTGTCTAAATTTAATTCAGAGGCAATTACAGCTGCTGCTCCATATCTTTTATATCTGAGGTGACCAGAAGCTCTGTCCTGACCTACTGACCTATTGTTTCAAATAGTCATAATAGGCTGAACTTTCCTCTGTATGCTATAATTTTCCAGGACTGTTGCCATCTTCAAGCTTAATAATGATGATCTCTATTTTAGGAGCATGGGTAAAAATAAACTTAGCTAACTTCAAGAATGAAGATTAAACACACAATCTATGTAGTAATGAAGCCTGATTAATAATGTATTTGCATCTCATAGTTACTTTATTTTGGCATGTGAGGAGATAAAAGCACCAGCAAAGCTTTTTCTGAGGTTGGACTATCAAGACCCTCTCCCATTTGAATTATGCTGTGCATAGCAAAACACGCTCACATTATCGTCTTTATCTTGGTAGGAGCGTGTGTAATTACTCTCTCTTTACCTACCCACCTTCTGGGTGGAACGGTCTTGCCTGATCCTTTCTACTTTCATCCTGCAAAACCTTCTATCTTAGATAATATGGTCATGCACAGAGAAGACTGAAGTGAGCAGAGAGGACAGGTATTGTTAAGAATCCCCAGTGTCTGGGCAGTGTCTTTGGGCAGCATTAAGGCTGCTTCATGTCTCCGTTCTGCCACCGAGCATTGTAAAAAGAGCTTACAAAACCTGGCAGGAACCTTAATTAATTTTGAGATCACTTGCATTCTGTCCATTTTACTGATACTAGTACAGACTGATCACATTAGTCTTGTTTTCTTAGGAAAACAGTTTAAAAATCAAGTACCAGAAAGGATTCTCAGCAGTCACATACAGTCTCAGTTGCTGGCCAGAGACCAAGATTTGATTAATCTTTACCACAATATTATTGTCCTTCAGGTGCTTCACAAAAGTAAAAGATAAGGCCACTGCACAAATCAGCTTCCCCTATGTATTGTATATTTGGCACAATGAAAGAAGTTGATGAATAGTACAGAAAGCACAGATAGAGTAACAAAGCAAATAAAGATAAAACCCGAAAATGTTCATTACTTGTTTCCTGTGGATATCACAGTGAAGAAAAATAGTCAGGAAAAACTGAATTGAGGAGTAGGAAAAGAGTAATTGAAAGAGGAAAACAAGCAAAGGTGCAGAACAGTTATGGGAAGAGTTGTCCAAACTGCATAGGGCATCCTCTAGTATTTCCTGTAGTAGTCCCTTAGCTTTCCAGACTTCATTGGTCACTGATACTTCATTTGCATTGTGCTAGTACTTAATGTAAGGAAATGTTCTAATTTAAACACTTGAGTGCTTCCGACTTCCTTAGCGTTTTCAAAGAATGTGAATTACCACCAACAAATTTTGATAAACTGTACATCTAATCCCTTAGTTTTCCTTCCCTTTTCCCTTTTTAGTCTTATCACCTTTGTTCTCATCAGTGGTCCAGATAAGTGTGTATCACAGTGAAGTTGGCTTAGGTTTCGGTATTTTTCCCCCTACATCATTATACATAAGTTAAATCTACAACCGCTCTGACTCACTGTTTTTGGAGGGTTGGAGTCGACATATGTTTTAAAGGATTATTTTATGCTTTTTTCTAGTTTTCTATTCATGATGCTAGAAATGCCATCTGCCTTCATTGTTTATTTAGAACCACAATATTAATCATATTTCACTGTGAAATTTTCACACTGGTGATATTAAATCGGTTCTTCTCTGGTTTATGTGATTTATGTTATAATAAGAAAGGTTATTTCTAGAGGCCATATTCAGATCATGTCCTTTGGTACCAAGGGTAGGATTCATCTCCCTTAGATTTAACCATGTAGACTCCGTCTAAGTCAGCAGAAACAGACACACGTGCCTTTGTGCTGGTCTGGGCAGAGTCTAAAGCAAATGGGATCATGAATTACGCTCCAGAGGTGGGTGATGCTGTTAGAGAGGGAGACTAGGTTACTCTCTTAAACTAACTTCTGGACGTCTGGAGATAAAGGGGGTGAATCTCACTCCTAATCCGTGTGCTGAAATGTTTAAAGACTAAATGCCCAGCTCCAACAGTACCCATTTCACCAGGTTGCAGAGTCAAGTTCCTTTTTAATTATTCTCATTCTGGCCCAATAACTCTAGCAGTGTTGGCTGCACAGGAGATACCCTTCAGTGAAGGGCTCCCTCCAGCAGAATACGTGTAATTTGCCAATTACAGTTCCCGCGCTTTTTTCCTTTTAATTGGGACCCATGAATCCAACTTTTCTCAGGCTATCCATCATGGTACTGTGCTTCTGAGCATGTGTGGGAGTCTGTGTTCAGACAAGTAGCAAGCAGCTTCTTTGTGGTAGACAGCATTCGAGGTGTTAACCGTGAGTGTAGGTGGCTTGGGCGTTTAGGTCCTTCTTTCAAGTAGAGGTGCCTGAATTTCACTGAACTGGGATTTAGTCAGGATTTAGATGATCTGTTCATGTTTTATAGGCTCTTTATGTCAAAGAAGTAGTATCTGTTTGTTATCTGGAAGAATCCCATAGAATTTGTTACATCTTGTTTTCTTTTTCTAATCCTTTTGATTAAATTACTCTTATCTGATGCTGTAGCCTAGTATTTCACAGTATGTTAGAGGGTTTTATTTCCTCTTTGCTGTCTGCAGTAATAACCTTTAGTTTAAATCATAGTATAATCTGTCTCAATGTGTGGACTCAGATTTCCCATAAATCACAATGCACAAACCTTAAAAAAAAAAAAGTAAAGAAAAGGAGAAGGTTGGTTGAAACAGATTTCATCTAGTATCGACCTTTGCTATTTATATATATCCTAACAGAGTGATGGAACACTATTGGCTACAGGCTCGTATGATGGTTTTGCAAGAATATGGACAGAAGATGGTAAGTCAAACAACATTTCTCGTTCTTAAGCATCAAACAGCAGTGAACTGTAATTTGGCTAATTTGTAAACAAATTGTAATATTAACCTTTTCTCTATTCCAGGTAACCTTGCAAGCACCTTAGGTCAACATAAAGGTCCAATATTTGCCCTGAAATGGAACAAAAAGGGGAATTATATTTTAAGTGCTGGTGTTGATAAAGTGAGTTTTAAAAGTACATCATTCTAACATATAAATGTGCTGACTCAGTTAGCTTGTGCTGCTGAATTCCGTAAGATTATTTTCTTCTCCTCCAGGCATCCTGGAGAGTTTACTTTTATTCAATATGTTTTAGTGCGTGTTGATTACATTTTTGAGGCTGTAGAAATGTGTACTATTTTTATGTAAAAGATTTTACTTAAAAAAACAACTCTACTTGCCCCCTGTGTAAAATTGCACCTTAAATGTTTCTCAGTTAAGGAGAGAACTGCTTCCACTACTTATGTTTATAGTTTTATCAACTAACTATTTCCAGGAAGGAAGTGATCTTAAAGGTACTTGACCTTTTAGCTCATCTAATTATTGAAACACTTATATATGGCTTCCTATGCAAATATGCAAAAAAATGGTAGTTCTGAACTCCAAATCAAGCAAAACATGGTAGTTTCAGCTGAGTGCATATTAGAGATTAAAATGAACAGATGACTGCTGATGATGAGCACAAACCCATTAAAACTGAAACTAGAAAGTACACAGCATTCATCTTGTCTAACTTTCGATATCTAAAAATCAGATGTGTATGTCATCTTTGGCTTCCTGTATAAAATTTGGAGAGAAAAATGGCACTTCCAAGTGATTGGTTGCATGGCCTGTGTTGCAGTGAGATGCACTGACAGTGCTCCTCCAGCTACTGACTGGGGAGGGGAGTCCAGGGAAACTAGCTCAGGCTTGTACATCTGATTTGTAGGCTGGATGAATCCGTATATTTTCACATACTTGTGAAAATGGAAACTTAGTTTTATTCCTTTTAATACTGGCTTATATTCAGCTACACTTGTCACCCAATGGTAGTTCCATTATTCTGGCAAACTTATGTTCCCAATGACAGCAGTGATTCTTTAGATAATCCATTATCAGCAAGATGAGGCATCCTTAATTTATTTTCTGGAAGCATATACTCCCAATAAATTGACAATTCACTCAGAAGGTGGTATTGAGCTCTACAGGGGAGTTGCTTATGTGTGCTGTGAGTATGGATTAATACTGTAGTAAGCAAATTACACTTTAGTCTGTCTCACCACAGTGGCAAGAAGTGATATGTGCTCTGCTGCTAGATAAACATTTCACTTAGTGGTTTAATTGTTAGAAATGTAGTATCACATAGTTTTGGAATAGAATTCAACTTGCATCTTTGAAAAGGGGAAGAAGTCTTCTTTGAAAAAGATAACTGAAACAGCTGTAAGAAAACGCTTATTAAAAATGTGTAGTGCTGTCTTCTAGCATTATTCACAGAGAATATGACCATTCTTAGTAGTTATATACTTCCTCTGTAGGCGTGATAATTCTTTATCTACACTTAGATTATTCTTCTGTAATATTTGGAAGTGATTTCTGTTTTTTCAGCTGTTCAGCACACAAGGCTCTCTGCAGTCAATAGTTTTATCAGTCCATCTTTTAGAATTGCTCCTCAGTGAGGGTGCTTTCTGTTTGTTTTCTCTGAGCTGAACAGTCACTAATCTTTTTTTCCCCCCCTTCCTTCGGATGCAGACAACAATAATTTGGGATGCTCACACAGGAGAAGCTAAACAGCAGTTTCCTTTCCATTCAGGTAATTTCTGCATAACTCTTGTTAGTAAAATGAAATGCAGTTTTTAATTTTGTCAATGGAATTTATCCTTTTGTATAAACCTACCTGCCAATTTGAAGTTTGAACCAGGTTTTTTGTGCTATAGCTATCCTGAGTATCATGGCTTGTGGGTTTATTCTTTCTTTCAGAAAGATGGGGTTCTGTGAGAATCAGCTTGGAAAGTCAAACTGATTCTAGGAGAGGATTTATACACCAGCCATGTCTACCTAGCTGAATGATTCTGTCATTATCTATGTGCTTGAATGGTACCAAGTGGTGATTTATGAAGAGACCTTTTGGTGGAGGTGTCTGGGATCTCTTCCACTCTTTCTGCTCCTGTGGCAATGAAGCTGACTTGAGACAGAAGCAGACGGATCTCTCATGCAGCTTGCATTCACCACTGCAAGCATGAAGGTCCTCAGGAATTTCTTAGCTTTTAATTTTGGCTTGAAGTTCTTCAGTATTTGCTTTCTCTGATCATCAGAAGTCAATCGCCAACCTTGAGTTTCAAAACCTTGCTGCACCAACACCTTACTTGGATGGTCGCTTGTAGGTCTGGTCTGCTTCAAGAAGACAGGAGATGTCACAGATACTAAGTAATCTTGAGTAACAGGCAATCATTGACGAAATCATGAATTCACCTGAGACCAGACTTGTAAGATGATGACTGAATTCAAGATCCAAACTGGATAAGTTGTCATAGTGAAGAATTTTTAAGGGGCATAGTCAAACTGAGTTTAAACCACCAAAACATTCCAGATTCTGATGCTAGAAATGTTCATCTTCCTGTGTGTTCACTGTAACTAATCCATTTTTAAATACAGCAGGCTTTCACAAGGTGCTTAATGGTGTTTAAAAACACATATTTTACTACTAATTTTAAAACATTAATTTGCGCATGCTTTTCAACTCAATTTCTAGTTGTTCTCATTCTCACGTTTTCACAGATGTTATTAATATGCAGTAGCAATTGAAATGGTTATTCAACAGAAGACAAAAAGTATGTCCATGCACGCAGCAGATCCATACTCTGCATTTTTGTCACTCATCTTGTCGCTTATTAATGCAACTGTCAGTTTGGAGGAGTCCGTGTCTGCTGACAGATTTTCTCACTGTGGCATTTATTTATCTATCATAACTGTTCCATAAAAGCAAAATTTGCACTGTATAGTGATGTAGTTAATGAGACTCTTAAGCCTTCTGATCCCTAACTATTGATTTAAGTCGTTGGGGATTCAGAACTTGGTTTTCCCTTCAGAATCATGTTCACTGACGTGTAGCTGTCTTAGCAGTGATGTGCATCAGCGACATATCACTCCATTCCCCTTTTAGCAAGTTGAAAACTTAGTATCTTCCAATGCAATATGCTGATGTCCATCTGCATTAATAGATTTTTTTTTTTTAAATTCTTGTTACGCATGCTGTTTGTCTTTGAACCAGAAGACACAACTGAAGTGGAGATGTGGAGAGGCTAATTTTTTTTTTTTTTCCCATTATTTCAAATATGTTTTCATAGGGAAGTAAAGCAGTTAGTTATTAAGGAAATTGTTGATAGGCCAAAGGCATATGTCCTACAGAAAGCCCCTTAAAATCAGCTGGAGTCTTTGTCCTCACGTAAGTCTAAAGCCATAAAGACCTCACCTTGTCCTCTTTGCATCAGTTACTCACCAGAACAAACTAACAGCAAATTCCTTTCCATATCTGGAATCTGAAAACCTTGTCTACACAAGGATTAAAGGTGGCATTTTAACAATTAAAGTCTAGTCTAGGCAGAGTACAGTTCCTTTAACACATACTTGTGTGGTGTACTTCTTTGCATAGTTCTTTGAAGTCTGGAGATAGTTGGCCTGGGAATAACGTAGATTTTTTACTCTCGGCTGCTTTACAACAACTTGTTTAGTTTACACCCATATGGACAAAACTGTCATCTTAAAACACATAAGGAAGACTCCTTTGTCTAGGTCTTGAGGGCCTCTATATCATTGATGTTCCCATGTAACTTTAAGGTTTTATGTAAGCATGTGGATAAGTAGCTTCTAGGGTTTCATTATTCTTAGCAAAACTATGACTCATCATAGGGCATTTGATCAAAATATGCATTCACAAAGCTTATTTCTTTAAAATGGAGTGAAATAATCCAATTTTCTCATCTACTGATAGATGTGGACTGATGTCTATGCATGCAGGAACAAATTGGTTAAGTGATAGCATAAGAGGTATTTGTATGAGCCATTTTTAGACATCTAAGTGCTCTGAATCACTCCCTGCAGACACTTAATTCTGTCCTCTTCTGAGCAGCTAATTCTGAATCACACCTAAATTTGTTCAGAAAAAGCTTAAATTAACTGATAATTATTGTAACACTTTTATTGTTGGAATTTATTTTAGCTGCATTTCTTAAGGATTTGTTGCTGCTTTTATTAGATGACATTCTAATTGTTTTTGTGCAATTGGCTAGTATCCTGTGGTTTTGGAGACACTTTGGCAATTCGATTACTTGCATTAAAAACCACGTTTGGTTGTTTTTTCTAGACTATTTTATGTAGTTAGTTATGCAGTAAACATATGATTAAATACACCAATAAATGAATTGGTATTAATTATCAACACTCTATGATTCAAATTATGCTGCAATGCAAATCCATTGCGTAAGGTGCCAATAACTCTCAGAAAATTACTTTTCAACTCATACATATCATACTAGATATTAGCCCTGAAGGCATATTGCTATTAATGAAGATAGATTTTTGTTTGCTCTGAAACAGTAATACAAAGCTTGCAGTATAAAAAGAAAGACAAACAGGCAGTTAAAGAAACAAAATCCTTTACTATTTTCTGATCCCCATTCATGTTCATTGGAAAACTCAGAAGTAACCTGCCTTCCTCACACAGATTTCCTTTATATTTTTGCAATATAGAAATTCCTTACCTGTCGCACAGAATTATTGAGCTTTTTCATTAGTGTTCTAAAAAATACTTGTATATGAAACAATTTCAGCTGTTCATTCTCATTTAGAGAGCTACCTGATGATTCGGAAGGTGACATGGATCAATCTCATTTTGCAGTCCATAGAAATTATAACAGGAAAAAACATATTTAAATATAATAGGCTTGGCAGAACAGATATCTGAAAAGATTAATACAGAAGTGAAAACTTCTGTATTACAAAAGTATTTTTCTGAACGTATTTGAATAAGGCATTTCTTGGTTTCATTTTAATGATAAACTTGCAGTGTATTGTTGCCAGAAAGAGATTCAACTTTGCTTCCTATATGCTGCACTCCTTCTGACACACTTGCTTCTCACAGGCGTGTGCCGAGAATGAAGACTTCTATATTTTAGCAAGTCTTGTGTCATCCTCTGGAGGGCAGTTAAACTCTTTCCTGAGCAAAAAAACAGTCATAGAAACACAAGCAAGCTGTATGTCAGGAGTTCCCTCCTACTCCTGTGCATGCTTTTAGTCTGCAGTGACATGCTGTAAAAGTGGTTTTTTCTGTTTTTTCCACACTTCTTGCAAAATGTGTGTTGCACACGGGCACTAGTTACATGTTCATGTGCTATCTGCGTACAAAGTTTCATTAGTTCAGTCCTAGTTAATGCAAAACCCTCTACAGAAACTCTTCCTCTCATTTCAGCTCAGCTTGATCAGTGTACCTATTTTAAATCAATCCCCAACCAAATTAAATTGAATGTAGGTATTATTAATCCACGTGTCTGCACAGAACGATAGGTTTGCATCGGTGGTTGCGTAAAGCTAGTGCAAAGGAAGATGGCCACCTGCTTCCTCTCCCTCCCGTGTGTTGTGTCTGGCATTCACAGGAACATTTTTTCTAACCCAGCCACGGTTTTTCTGGATTAGTTTTCTTCCAGATTCTTCGCTGAGCTGGCTTACAGAGGAATGAATGGTAGAGATAGCCCCAGAGCAATGTGCAGCTGGGAGCGGGGCGGGTAGAGGCAGGTTGTTTTGCCCCCCCTCTTATGTAACAACCCAAAAGATTCTCATAAATAAATGCCATGCAAAGCATCCAGATTATCCACTACAAGAGGAAAAATAATTTGTGCCCTTCAGACAGTCCCTATCAACCCTGTAACTGGTAGTATGTGATAGTCCAAGAAGTAGCTTTTAGTCTGTTTGATCCAGATGGGTCACAGGAGGAAAATGGTTTGGGATAGCTGTTTCTGTGCTGTGTTCCCTGATGTTCCTTCCAATGTTTGTACTTCACAGCTCCTGCTCTGGATGTAGACTGGCAGAACAACACTACTTTTGCCTCCTGCAGCACTGACATGTGCATTCATGTATGCAGACTTGGCTGTGATCGTCCCGTTAAAACCTTTCAAGGACACACAGTAAGTTTTGGAAGTCCAAAATGTTAAGTGATAAAGTCACCGCAGCATGTAACGACGATGGCAGCTGATGTGTTTGCAGGATGTGTTCTAGCACCAAAGGTGTTACATCCCATTGCTTCCCTGAAATGGTATTCCTCAGGAGTGACTCACTGCCTGTGAGAGGGGATAAACTGTTCTAAATCACCATAGGAGGCAAAACCTGCAGCTTAAACAGTGAGACTATTTATATGTAGCATGAGCTGCAGACTAAGGGCACATTAATAAATAAGATTTTATTTTCCGTTGGCTTAATTTCCTTTAGTAAATGAGAACTATGAATAAGGAGAGAACAATTTATCTCCAGCCATTTTTCAGTCTTAGAATCAATTTAATCTAATCAGATCTATTTAAGATGTATTTCCCCCCTCCTTTCCTTGTGGTATTTAATGACCATCAAAGGCTAGTTTTTCTAGCTTTCATTCATGAGAAAACTGCTATCATATACTCACCTGTAATTTAGATACTAACTTCCAGAACTTGCTGTCTCCTCACTGAGGAAAAATTGTGCATTTGGAGACCTTTATCTAGTCTATGGTTAAACTGATACTAAACTGATACTTCATGACAGGTTTATACATTCCTACCAACAGGCTGGTGCTTTTTATGATTCTATGAAATGCACCATTTTGCACATGATCCAAATTTTTACTTCAAATATCTGTACAGTTCCTTTTAATTATGACTGAAACATGTAAAACTGATAAAGCAAAATTCAAATTTTTTTCAGGATTATTTTTACTGAGACCCTGAGCCAATTTATGTTTTTAAAAAACAATCATCTTCCCCTTTTTATGAAATCCTTTTTTTCCTCATAGGTATGACCCTTGAAAAAGCACAGAAAACTTACTGATTACCAAGGGGATACACTAGGCTTAGTTAATTACAAAGTGCTAGAAAGATTGATAGAGAAAGCATCGTAAACTATTCAATATTCCATCCTGGATTTCATTTACACATACACCTCTGTTTAGAGAGACCAGCATTGTTATAGAGCTGCAATACTAAGAATTATAAACTGCACAAAACTTTATACCCCACCCATATTTTCTGTTGAAAATTTGTATCTCTGAGATCTACAGAATATTAACCAAAGAAATATCTCAATTTTAAAAAGAAGTTAATGCTGTATCATCAATCTGTCTGGTTTGAGGGTTTATTTAAATCCTAGCATATGAAGAAAGAGTATGAGAGACTTTGTGCCAGAACATGTATCAGAAGACTGATTGTGTGTATTGTTCGCAAACACAAAATGGTTACCATTCCTAAATGACACTTAAATAGCGTGTTACCAAAGCAGCACTGCTTTTGGTCACCCGTAAAGCAACCAGGGCTGTAATTTGTGATTGAACTTGTTGCATGCATAAACCTTGAGTGCCCTCTGCTGGATGTCCGGTACAATGCAGGTAACCAGAATATTTACTTAATAAAATCACTCTTTATTTCAGAACGAGGTTAATGCAATCAAATGGGACCCATCTGGCATGCTACTAGCATCTTGCTCCGATGATATGACATTAAAGGTAATATAATTTCCATTCCTGCCGTTCAAAAAGTAAAGACAAAAATTATGTCTATTTTTTAATCTTCTCCAGAATGCTGGTACTGTATCACTGAAAACTCTGCACAAACAATAGTTTCATTTTGTCCCATATTTCTTAAAGCCAATGTGAAAGATTGAATACAGAGAAGCAGCCACGGGGAAAACTGAGATATCCTATCCAAATAAGTATTAAGTAACTGACATGTCACTGTCACGGAATAGTCATAGTTTAAATATACACATACATATATATACACCTGCTTGCCTGTCAACAGAGGCACAATCCCTATGCTAAGAAACAGTCTATTTGTTACACTTTGAAAATAATATAAAAACAAAGAGTTTTCCCTTTGGAATTCCTTCTTTTTTCTGACAGTAGTTTCACTGGAGCCATTTGATTTTTTTTTTTTTTTTTAAAATACTGAGCAATGGGACAGGACATATAAATTCAGAGCCCACCAAAAGTCTAAATTGCTCTCTGAAAATGCCTATCTTTCACTGTATGGGAAGCCTAAGGCAGCTACGCTGCTGATGTACATGCCTCTGTTAGGTGCCTGAAGTGAGATGGAATGAATCTGGATTCTGGCTGCCTAGGGCCTTTGCACACCTGGGCCATTGCACTGTACCAGCAAAGTACTGCTAATACAGGGGGAGTCTGGGCTTGCAGAAAAGCTTTTCACGATAGAGCTGTTCCAGCCCAAACTCTTCTCAGTCTCATTCTCCTTTCCCAGCCGCGTTGAATGAAGGCTATGTCCACGTAGGAATAGCTGTATGTTGTAACAGCAAGGCCCTCCTGCTGGACTGTTGATTTGTGTTGATTCCCTGAGCAAAGCAAACATCCCAGGAAAGATTTGGTTTTGTGGATGGAATTATACCAGTAATACAGATTGCTCATAGTATAGTTGTGTTAATTAAGGCTCATACCTCTTTCCACTGCTGATTGACACAGCTAAAGTAAGAGATGTTTCTAGCATGCACGCAGCCTGTGTGTAAGAACTGAAACTGAAAGAGCAGCAAAACTTGAAGAGCGAAGTGAACATCAGCATTACAAATGTTTCCTCTTCATAGGCAGCCTGAGTTCTGCTCCATTCTGCTCTGTCTTTGCCATATACCCACTCGGATTTTCATCCCTCTGGATTCTAGATGTATTATTCCGAACTGTTCACAGAACTGAAAATTTACAGAAAACAGGCTAGAAGAAACCAAAAGAGAGCACCTTGACTGTTATGCTGCCAGAAAGCAGTGTGGTAGTAACCAGTATTGCTCTGCTTAAACATCCTGACTCAGTGGTAGCACATTTTTTTGGTGCCCAGTTGCGTGCTGTGTTTTATAAAACACTGTTGCTCAGTGTTGTTGGTGCCAGTTCGACTTTCTGACCACTGAATTTGGCACAAGAGCTAATGGTTTGCTATCCCCGGCCTTGACTGTTTTTAAAAACCTTCAGTGATGGAAACTGCAAATTCTCTTCAGGCAACTACTATTATTATTATTCTTTCTTTTCCTTTGGAAAGCAGTCCTCTCTGGCTTCTTTTTTTTTGTCTTTTTTTGGAGTTCTTGATATTTTCCAACACCTTGGAACATATGTTGCCTGTTAGCCATAGAACATGGCTAAGCTTTGTGTAACATTCCAAAAGCAGACTCAGGTATGCTGATGAAAATTCAGCATAAGAGCACATCATTTCCCTCATAGTGCAGACTTATAACAAGTGAGTTAAATCATTACTACATTTTTGGTATCTCTCTGAAATTGACTGACTAAATTTGAGTTATTTTCCCTGCTGTGAATTAGCTTCATCTTGTTTTCTCAGTTAGCTGAAGAAAAGATGTACTAAATTACCTGTCATCTCTGTTGAGCATATTCTTTACCTCTCGCTGCAGCATTTGGCCATGTAACACTGCGTAAATAGCTGGTCTTGTTCCATTGTCTGTGCTGTTAAAAACATCAGGAAAACAAATGGAGTTCAGGAGGAAAAGGAAGATTTGATGTGGCTCTTGACTGGCATAAGAGAAAATTATTAGGTTCTAAGCAGTTATTGAAACTTTATTTTCATTCTTTAAAATGACTGCTGTTGCAATGTGTAATTTAAACTTCAAGTTAAACTTCTCTAAACAGAGTAACTTAAGCTTCTGTGTGAAAATACAGTTACAGGCTATGGGGCAGTACAGCAACTATTTAGTTGTTCTGATCTGTTGAATAAATACTATTAAATGTGTAGCTTTTACCCCTAATGGGGTTATTCTAACATGTGTGCATTGTAGGTGCCAAACTGCTGCATTAATAAACTTAATTTAAGTTGTGTTTTTGTGTATGCATGTGTGTCGAGATCTTAAATAAACAAATGGTAAGAATAACATGGAACTGAAATAGAAGAGATTAGTAACGTTGCTATTTTTCTCCTTCATAATTACTCTGACTTAGATTTGGAGTATGAAGCAAGATACCTGTGTACATGATCTTCAGGCTCACAGCAAAGAGATTTATACTATCAAATGGAGTCCTACAGGACCAGGCACCAGCAACCCAAACTCCAACATCATGTTAGCAAGGTAAAAATACACCTCTTTCTGTTGCCTACCAAGAAGAAGGATCGTCCTTCTGACGTGTCACTCTACTGTCACCTTGCCATCAGTCTTCCTGCAGACAATTCCAGTAAAAAGTACCTGCGTTTGTAAAGCAGGGGGATGGATACAAAGGGAAAGGAATCATATTTGAAAAAGGAAAAAGAAAAAGAAGGAAAATTGAGTCATATGATACTTTACTTTTCAGCTGTCTTGATAAAAGGACTGTAAATCTGGCATTGCACCTTCACATCCAGCATCTGGTTGTTACGAATGAAGGTGCTTAATGGGACAGATGGCAGCCCATTCAGCCAGCTGGCACGTGTTCTAACCAGGGTCATGCAACTCACCTGGGCAGATACTGACAATTTTTACAGCCTTGTTAACTAACAGAGAAAAGCTTGGATAATCTTTAAAATTCCACTTGAAAGCCTGTTTGAAATCCTTCTTTTGAGTTTAGGAAATACATTTACTTGTAGAATGCCAATTGATGGGATTATCAAATCAGTTCATGGTGTATTCAGTTTCAGAAGGAGTTGTATCGAAGCTGTTTTATTTATTTTACTCCGTAGCCTGGGAGTGGACAGGGAAGAACTTCACTTTCTTGGAATTGTTCTTTTAATATTATTTTTAATACCAATTATTTCCCTTGCCTTTCTCTAAGCCCACAGTTTGGGATTTAGATGGATTGTAACAAAAACCAGCACTGAAACAAAGTGACCCACAGTTCTAGAGAATTACAGAATGCTAATTCATTAAATAATGCAAATCCATTAGAAATAAGATCTCTCTGGAACCATTTATCCTATTAATGACAATATATATTTGACCTTCCTGAATAACAGCAGGTAGAATCTCAAAAGGAGGGAGCTCTTAGGGATAGTGATGTGATCCTACCCAGCGCCCTAGGTAAACTCAAAGGGTCCGCATACAAGAATTCAGTTCTGTAGATACAGTTCTTGCAATTAAAATCATAAAGGCTGTAGTGAATATTAGCTTTTCTGTTTGAAACATTATTTCTTGCTTAGTCAAGGGAAAAAAACTGTGGTATTCTCCTAAAACATTTACAGTATCAAACTACAAATTTATTAACACACGAATTAAGACATGCTTCTGTTTGAATGCTTCTTGCAGTGCTTCGTTTGATTCCACTGTTCGGCTGTGGGACGTTGACCGAGGAGTCTGCATCCATACGTTAACAAAACATCAAGAGCCTGTCTACAGTGTAGCTTTTAGTCCTGATGGAAAATATCTAGCCAGTGGGTCCTTTGACAAATGTGTCCATATATGGAATACTCAGGTACTGTGAAGCACATCTGGTTTAGATGACACATTAATAGCAAAAGCTTAAATGGAAGATACATGTACCTCTGTAGCATATGACCTGCCAGCCAAGGTGAACCTGATTGTATGACTGATACAAATCCCAGCATAACAGTTGAGCCACTCGCGTGGAGTGAGGTGACTGTCCAGAATGTTTCTGCTCAGCCCTCATTGTATGCTAAAACGCTAGCAGGCATGAAAACAGGTACATCATATTGTGCCAACAGCTCTGTGAAGCAAAGGTGTGGATTCATTCTTAGAAATAAGTGATACTTCTATTTAGTAACAAGCTGAGTTCAGTTGTGAGTCCGATGCACCTGCCTTATACTTTGTGCTGAGGAGATGATAGATACAAAGGGTGTACAGTCTGGGGGGACTGGGGATATTCTAGAGAAAAGTGGGACATCATAGTTCCACAGATTTAATTCTGGATACTGATGCCTCACAGCCTGAATTAACAACAAACTTAAGAAAAGATCACCTCAGCCTAAGTTCCCAGGCCTTTACAGTTATAAAGGTGAGAAAAACAGACGTCTGAGAGTCCTGCTGTAAATTGCTTTCTGGAGGAGCCTGTTTCTCTTCATTAGCAAATACCAGTTTCCTAACTTCAGCATCTTATGGAGGTGACTGTAGTTGGATGATGTAAATAGCCTCCCCCCTCCCCCTTCTTTTTAATGTACTGCTACGCAACAGAGAAAAAGAAGGGGAACTTCTGTATCAAATGTTTGCATGCTGTTTTGCTTTGTAGAGTGGAACTCTAGTACATAGCTACCGAGGCACCGGGGGCATCTTTGAAGTCTGCTGGAACGCTAGAGGAGACAAAGTGGGAGCAAGCGCATCAGATGGATCGGTAAGAAGCTTTACACATCGTACATGTTGGGTGGAGATTGCTCTTCTGGAGAGCATCAACAAAAAAAAAATACATGCCATACTGCCTTCTCTGGACAGAGCTGAAGGGTAGGCAGCTTAAGACAGCAATAAGTAGTTCTGTGGAGTATAGTAAAAACACTCCTGCTTTGGAAGGTTTTGAATACTAGGAGGTGGTGTTCCTATCGGAAATGAAGAATGCTTGTGGAATAGGTGAATATTTCTGAAGATGGGAATGACTTTTAAAAACATATTTGATAAGAACAACAGTAGTGTTGGTTCTATCATTATCTCATCTGTCAATTTTTAGTGAAGGTCAGGTCACAGCAGTCAACTCGCTAGTAAACAGTTGTCCTGGGGCTTTCTAAGTTTTATCTCACAGAAGAAGTTTACCCTTGAATAGTTCCTAAAAGAGGAAGTTTTCAGCATGATGCCCAAAGATTTCATCTCGTGGTAAAGGAGAAATATTGCCATAGAGATGCTGATTATTCATTACTATTTTTGCTGTTAATGTTAGTTTAAAAAAATTTCAGTGGTAGCGTGGTCAGCTTGTGAAGGATGCACAGATGTTGTAACACACTCTACAGCTTTTTAAAATAACTTTTCTACATGGCTGACTGGCATAACTACTTTAGAGCAGTATTTTTCAACTGGTTTTAACGAAGGATACACCTACGACGTGATTCAGTTGCTTGAGCTTAGTTGTGCCATTTGAGATGGTGCCATGCCTGGCCTGCTCCAAATGGGCGCATGTCTGCTCTAGGTCCTGTGTCGCGCCTGCCAGGCCTGTGCATCTATTTTGGATATATTTCAGAAATGGAAGTGGACACGGTATTCAGGCAACTAAATAGAGCCCATAATCTTATCTGGGATGTGCGACCAAAATGTTTGTTTGTAATCCAATGAAAGTCCAGCTAAATGTTAAATGTATGGTTTTCACTTGGGTTTTCTCCCGTGTCAGGTTCTTCCCTTGCTTGTGTGCAGGTAAACAGGTACTTGAGAGGCTGATTTGAAGCTGGGGAGTATGACATACAGCTGGCTGATCAGGCTGTGTACAGAGCCGTATATGAATAGGACTTCCACGTCACTTTCAGAAATGGTTCTTAATGCTGAGTCTTTTCTCTCCAGGTTTGTGTTCTAGATCTGCGAAAGTAAAAGTGAAATGTTTTAGAAGAAATTTCAAATGGACCAGCAGTGAATGTGTGGGGAGAAGCACTCTTCAAAACTATTCTTAACAGCTCCAGAACTGTACGAACTTGAACAAAGTTAGAGTGTACCGTGAAACCAACTCTCCCTGGCCACAGGTGTCTAGTATTTTGTCCGTAACCTTCATCAAGGAGTAAAAACACAGTCACTTCAGAGGGGGAGGGAATGGTTTCCACCTGGAACATTCAGCCTTGGAAGCATGAAGCCACCAGCTAGGCATTGCACTGTTTGGTTTGCGTCTGAGAACTTGCTCTGATGGCTGGGAAAAAAAAGCTGTGCCAAAAAAAAATTAATAAAAAAAAAAAAAAAGAAAAATGCTGTGATAAACCAAAAGGGAAAAAAAATCCTCCTCCATGCGGTGTTGTATTTTTTCCTTCCAATTTGGACACTACAGTTGCTCTCCCAAAGGACGTTCAAAGACCAGTTTGTACTGATGAAATGCTCAACTTTGTAATCACAACACTTTCTATTTTCTAGACTACTTTTTTTGTTCAGTGGTTTTTCTATCAGCTGGAATATTACAGCCTGGAGGATCCCAGGCTTAGGATGAAACTTTTGTTTTCCTTTTATTTCTCCCTACCACTCCCAATTTCTCCTTCCTTTTTTTTTCTCCTCTTTCTTCTTGCCCTTTTTTTTTTCTTTTTTCCCTATATGCCCATAGTAGATGCAACCAGGTGGACATGACAATGAAAATTTTTGACAGACTGCTTCTCCTCTCTTCTCTCTCTTCCTTTTCCTTTCTTTCTCTCCGTTTAAAAGAAAAAAAAATCCTCCATGCTTCAGATCTTAGCGTCTCAAGGGCACTTTCAGCAAATTGTGTAATAAGTGCTTTATATAAGAATGCAGTGCTGGGGAAGATTTTTACAGGAGAAAGATGACTTTTAACAGAAAGAACCCAGTGTATTTTTGGAAAAAAAATATTTTTTATGTTAAACAGTTTTAAAAGCCTAAAATGGCCACCAAATGTAGACCAGTTGTGTAATTCAAGCAAAAAGAATGACACAGAGTCCAAGGAACATGAAAGGTGCAGTATCCTTTTTCTCTTCTCTCTCAGAAAGTGCTGTCAGAAAGAATACTTGATACAATAAATGCCAGTCATTTACTAAGAGTCCTCTTCCAGCAGCCAGCCATTGATATAGTCTCATTTCATTTTTGTGGCTGTTTGGTGATGTACACATATTAAAAGGGATTCCTAAGTTTGAGACTATAAACATAGCATTCATTTTCTTGAGTCCATATTTTCGGTTGTCCTTGGTAACCAGGAGAAAACGATTGTGTATCTTCTTTCCTCTAGCAATAGTTCAGATGTCGTACAGAACATGGGTTTGGCTGCCCGTGGCCTTGCTGAGCAGTGCTGTCCTCCACTATTCATCCCACTCAGCTGTTTCCCTTCCCGTAAGTCCACGGGGTTTTACCACCGACTTAATGGGACCAGTTGGACCAAGATCTATTGACTGCATCTATCATTGTTGAAGAACGGACTCTTGCCAAGCTCCTGTCCATCCATGGTCGGCACGCACCCAGAAGCAGGCTCTTCCATTGCGTCGGCAGTATGTGGTGCTGCTCTCGCCCTCAGCCGTGTGTCTCCTGCGTGCGACAAGGAAAGCTCTGGGCCTGCACTTGGAGGCTCACTCTCTGCCCAGACACATCTAGCCTTGAGGGTGTCCTCAGTGCGGTGCGCAGAAGACAACGTAGAACTCTCCACTAGGTGAGGCCATGATAACGGATATATAAATTGTATCTCAACATATATACTACTATAAAGTTACAGTGGGTGAAGTGATCGGAATGACAATAAAGACTTCCAAAGCACCACCTATCCACTTCGGACATGATCCTCTGCAAGCTAGACATCGGCAGTGGAGCCTACTGACGACTACATGACTCTAAGAGCAAATGATGGATGCAAAGAAGGATGCATAGGCAGAGTTTACTGAAAGTGCTGTAAAGGCAACCTTGGGGTGGTGGCAGCCGTTATTTAGACAAATCCTCAGAACCGGCTGAGTCAAAGAGGTGTCCTCTCTAGCCCGCAGGCTAGGCTAGGATTTGTAGGAGAGAGGAAAACAAACAAGCAGAGAACCCCCTTAACATCAGGTAGTACCTTCCCGCCCAAAGTCGCTATTTCTGTAACACAGGGTCTTCCCTTTGATTTGACCACGGCTGCTGAAGTGGTGATTTGATCCGAGCAAAACCAAAACCAGAGCCCTAGTGCTGAACGGGTGGTGCAAGACCTGCCAAGCGTTGTGGCATCATCATGGCGTCGTGGAATCCGTACCTCATTTTTCCTCCTGTGTTTTTCTCTCTTTACGCTTGAATCTGCATGGTATCTAACTAGCCACTGCCAGCTTCAGCTGTGTTTCTTGAAGATGCATATTTGGAAAGGAGAAAAGAATGAAAAGTAATAACTGGTAAAAGGGTTACTCAGTCTTGAGGTGAAAACAGTTATGTGGGATTTTGGTTATTAATGACAATTAGACTTGTTTATAATTTATATCAAAGAATTGGATGCTGGAAGATATCAAGGATTATTTTTGGTGTTAAATGCATTTATGTGTTGGTTTTAGTTTTCTGTTCCAAGAGCATGGGCTGTAGATGGTCAGCTGGCAGTTTTGCACTGTTTTATAATAACCACATGTACCTACTAATTTAAAGTCACTACTTAAAAAGAGTACTTGTTCAAAGAGAGACTTGAATTTGAATACAAAGGTTTAATGTGGTTTTATAAAGCACGGTTGGGACGATGATTTGATTACAATCATTGTATGTACACGGTTAACTTCCTCAGCTGCTTTTGGGTGACGTTTCTGAGAACAAGACGCAGAAGCTGTGGGTCTGCAGGCGGCGGAGGGCAGCGGGGACGGGGCCCTGGCCTTGCCTCTGTCCCTTGAGTCACCCTGAATGGGCCGGACCTCGGGATTCAAGGAGATGAGGTTGCTCAATCCGAGTTCAGCGACGCCACATGGCTGGCTGGCTACATAGCCCGTGTTCTGTGGTTGTTCCCGGGATAGCTACTGTAGGTAACTGGGCAGTGTCCATGATGCCTGTTCCTTTCTCCTTTTTTTAAATTGTCGGAACACCACCTTTCCTCTGCCCACCTACATGGAGGTAAGAGGCCAGGAGAAACAAAATTTGAAAATCGGTTGGTTTGCAAAGCCTACGTGTGAGAGAGGCTGCTGTCCAGAGAGTTTTCTATACAGACCATCAGATTTGAAAGCAGCATATGTGAAAAGCTAGGAAAATTCACCTTTCTTCCTCTCCCCAAGACCCTGAAGACTGGGAAATCCTCAAAGATACGGTAGTAGATAGTTTTCAGCTCAAATGAAGGCAGCTATTAAGGAAGGCAGAAGATGCCGTTGCAAGGGCTGATCCTAGCCTAGCGGGCTGCTTTCGTCAGGAGGTGGGCGGTGGGGAGAGAGGCTTTTCCAGGCTCTAGTTCAACGTGGACGGCTGAGCCTAGACCTGCAGAGTGCCCTGGTGGGAGCTCTTGCTTTCCTGCGCTGCTGCGGCGGCATCCCCCGGCGAGCGGTGCCTGTCTGCCGCTCCCCTGCAACGGAGCAGCGTGAAGCAACAGGCTGGTGGACTTCATTTTTTTCATGCAATATTTTTTGATAATTTTGTTTCGAGTTCTTTGTAACGGAAGAGAAATTGAAAAGCCGAAGTGACCAAACAGGATTGTGAAAGCATCGAGAGACTTACTGGGTTTTTATCATTGCTGGCTGTCTGGAACTGGCCTTGAAGTGAAAAAAACCAGTTTCTGAAAAACCACTCGACTCTGTGGGTTAGAAGGATACTGAATCTTTTATGTAGAAAACACTGGGTCCCTTATGGGGCACTAAAGGGCCTGACTTACAGGGTTATACACACATTAACCCCATGCTACATCTTAGAAATTTCCTTTTAATTTGTTTAAAAAAAAGAAAAAAATAGCTAATTTTAGAGCCAAGTGAAGTGCACTTTGTCAAATGTAAGGGTCTGCTTTGTTTTTGGGTTTCTTTTTTCTTTTCCCCTTTTAATTTTTCCTCCTTTTTTCCCTCCTTTTGCCTTTTTAAAAGATGTGGTTCTTTGTCAATTGCAGAAATGTTCTTTCAGCCACTCACTGAAATTCTGAATTCTGGCTTCTGCAGTTTTTATTGTCTGTGTCAGACTTGCAGCCAGACTTGGTTCTCATTTCAGCATTTCCTAGGTTCTGTTGAAACAACATCAACCCTTATTTTGTTTCTCCCCCACCCACACTTTCTTCAAATTCACCTTGTGTATTGTAGCTCATTTGTTTTAAGGAGAGAATCAACAGATCATATTCAGTGTCTTGAATAAATTGCTATATTTTGATATTAGAGAATTCTGTGCGTGTTGTTCCTTATTCTTTCCTGGCTGTTCTGCATCCTGCGCTTAAGAGCTGGGGTCGGGTGACTTAAGTTTTAACGTGGTGTCACGACCTAAAGGGTTACCCGGCCCGCGGGTGTATAAAGATGGAGACTGTGGGTTCGTAGGATTTTGTAATACACAAGGGCACAGCGGCTTTTTCCTCTAAATTTCTCTACTTCGTTACAGATTACCACAAATACCACACAAATCACCACTAGCAAGGGAACCTATGATTAAGAAAGCAAATATACATATATTTCAAGCTATCACAAATTACTATCAGCAAGCAATAGTATAGCAACAATCAATAATACAGCAGCAATCAGTTACATCCACAATCAATTACAGCAGCATCCAATAATAGCAGCAGTGAAGTATATATATGTAATATTACAGGTTACAACAAAGTTAATACTACTGAAGCAAACTTACCAATAATGTAACAGGAGATATGATAGGTTACTTACATGTATATATGTGGCCCCAAACGCATTAGACAGATCTCGGAAGGGACCCAACTATCCCAGAGGTGGGAGGACAAACCAGACCGGCCCCAGACCGGGGCTCAGTGGGGGAACAGTACACCAACAGGCAGAGTCTCACTTCAGAGGTGATCCATGTCACGGAGTTTGGAGTCAGCCAGGCGTCCCCAGCGAGGGTCCAAGGCCCTGTAGAAAGTTCACGCAGACCTGTTTAGGAAAGGGACAAGTATGTGCGGCACGGGAAGAGAGGGAGGCTGCATTTTGGATAGAAAGTCATTTTTATATCCTAGAGGCATAAGAGGATGTCGGACACCACCACTTTGAGCAGCCAATAGATGTTGTTAATACCTGTTTTTCACCTGGGACAGCCAATAGATGATGATGATTTCTATTCTCTCAGACCAATTTTTGTTTTTCAGGACTTCTCCTGTTCTTGCAGATAGAACAGCCCATGGCAGTTCCCGATGCTTGCTTTCTCAAGATGTTTTCCCCTTTTTCCAGTTTATTTTTCACCTTTTCAGACAGTAAGTTGCCATTACAGCTCCTTGGTTTTGTGCTTATTGAGGGCATCTCAGGATGTCTCTGGTTTCTAGGTACCCAGCTGCACTTCAAAGATGCTGGCTGTGCTTCTCAAGGATACTTCTGGTTCGCAGGCTCACAGCTCCCAGGCTGGCAGGCAATTTCTCTCTCAGTATTTCAGGAGACACCTTCTGTTCAGTACTTGTTCCCTTCTGACCAGGTCGCCTTTATGGCTGCTCACATCACATGTTTATTGTGCAGCTTTATTTTCCCCCCATGACGCATTTATTGGAAATCCATACAGCTGGTACGGAACCAATTTGAGTAAGATTGGGTTGAAGTACTTTTTAAAAAGTTTCCTCAAAAGGAAGGTTCTCCAGATAAAATAAATTGGACTCTAGTTCTGATCAAAGTAAATTGTTAATTTTTCTTTAAGCTAGCAAGGCTTAAATTCAACTTAAATTCAACTTAAATTCAATTGCTTGAGTAGTTGGAGGTTTTTGAGGAACTTCAGAATATTCCAGCTCGCGCGATGGGGTCGCAGGTGTCCCCTCTGGCAGGAGCTGCCACGGGCACCGTCTCTCATAGCTCATCTCTCTGCTTGGGGCTCGCTGCACTGACACTTCAAAGGCGACAGTGCGGGGGGTTTAGCTTTAACAGGCTGAATGTTGCATGGGTTTTGGCTGGGTTTTACTCCACGAAATGGTAGTCATGGTACTTAGTGGGGGATTCAACATGAAACGTGGGATTTTTGCTTTGTGACCGTGTAACACACTGACCATTCACCTAAGCTAAGGCTGAAAGATTGTCAAAAGCCTTCAAAAGGAATTAGCACCCAGAATAAACACAGTGTAGGTTTTAGGTGTTCAAGGACCTGGAGTATTAAGTTAGGATTGATATAC